ATATACATACATACCTTTTATCTATATATACGTATATACATATTAGGTATATGTATACATTATACCAAATAAAGGACTGTTAACATTATTGGAATAGACGCAAAGACACTCTGAATGAAGCACAAACCGGAACGTTAACATTCCTCCAAGGTGATTTAAAATCACTCTCAATGTGTTGTCGCTCATTATTATTGATCTACTTTTAAAGGTCTCAAAAGCTGTGAGAAGCTGTGTTCTTGACAGGAAACTAGTTTTTTGTTGTCGGGGTTTTTTGGTGGGGGGGGGGGGGGGAGAAACACTTTTTGGTGACACAGCTAAACAAGGGAAATCTTTAAAATCACTCCAGACATTCTTTCGCACGTTAAACACAATTTTACAAAGTTTTAGTTTTAGATGTATAAGTGTTCGATATTTCGGTTAAAAAAAAGATAGTAGATCTAGTTTTAGCTAGGTTTTACGGCACTTGCAACACACACATTAAGGTCATATTTGCGCCGAGGATTAGAGCCTTCAAAAGAGAGGGGTAAAATTCAAACAAAAGAATGGGGAGATATAAGGACAGTAGATGATGGAAATAAATCTTTAGTTTTGGTAAGTTTTACGGCACTTGCAACACAATAAGACCATATAAGTGCCGAAGAATAGATGTGTTACGAGAGAGTAACATACACAAAAAAGAAGGAGAAGAGATAAGGACGACATATGTTTGTTAGGAAAGAAGGAGCAAACCTCACCAGAGCACCATAAAAATAAATAAGAACAACAAACATTATGATAAATTAATTACTAACGAATACAGCAAAGAAAACTGTCGAAAAGAAAAAAAAAACTTTCCAAACCTTTGAGAGAGCGAAATTCCGATTGCGTTATCCTGGGCAAGCGAATTATTGTCCAGTCAATATCCAGAAACACACACAGTTGTTATAAAATAATAACACAATCCTTGATGGAAACATACGTTGAGCCCACTTGTGTATGTACGTATGTGAGTACTTGCGCGTGTATGTATTTATGTGCGTGTATGTATGCGCACGTGTGTGTACGTCAGTGTGCAAGAGGAGACAGATACCCCTCTACTGTACAACAAAGTCTCAGCCGATCCCCCCTGCTGTTTACACAGGCACAGACACCACTCACTGGTGGCAGTAGAATGTTATTGGCGAGACCCGCCGACCGACCCGTCGTCACATAGGCCTAGATCTACTACTACAACTAAACTATCGGGGTCTCTGATTTCCCTCTGCAGATTTTCGTTCGGGGGTTCCTCCTCTCTCTCCTCTCTATTTCTCTCTGGTCCCTGGGTACCACCGCCCCGCCGTACTTTGGCTCAGTCACAGTGACAGTCGCGCCGCGCCGTTTCACCACAGAGTTGTTTCACGCGCACGCACGTATGGGGGGTTTGTTGAGCGGGCACATTGATAGAGTGGGCGACAACTGTGCACGCGACACCAGTTATCTTTAATTATAATTTATAATATCAAAGATAGTGCTGTAGCCTACGGTAGATTTTTAGTATCTTTGATAAAATAAAGATTGGAAGAGACAGTAAATGGTAAATCGCATCGGAAGCGTGGCTCGTGTGTGAGATTCGACATAATGAGTGCAAGCTTGAACACTGCTGAGGGTAGGAGATTTTTTAATTTTTAAAGAATTATGTTTTCCTTTTTGTTATTTGTTGTTTATTGTTGTTGCTGTTATTGTTGGGGTTTGTGTGTGTGAGTGTGTGTTTGTGTCTCTGTGTGTTTGTGTGTGTGCGTGGGTGTGTTTGTGTGTGTGTGTGTGTGTTTGAGAGAAACTATTCTTCAGCTGGTACATGTAATAGTGAACAAAGCTCCCCTCCTTCAGTTCCGTCTTTTACGCCTGTAGTCTCACAAGCTTTTGATTTTTTTGTGGGTGGCTTTTTGTTGTTGTTGTTATTGTTGTTTTTGTTGTTGTTGTTGTTGTTGTTGTTGTTGTTGTTGTTGTTGTTGTTGTTGTTGTTGCTTGTTTGTTGTTGTTGGTAGTGGTGGTGGTGATTTCGTTTTCTTTTCTTTTGTCTTGGGGGGAGGGGTGAGGGGGTTATTGAGACATATTATGTTACATAATTTCTTTGTGGTAACAGGACTCCAGAATAGCTGTATGTGTACCTGTGTGTCTCTGTGTGTATATGTGTGTGTGTGTCTGTCTGTATGTCTGTATATCTGTGTGTGCGTGCGTGTCTGTGTGTAGGACGTTAAAGATCCCTTAGAGGTCCTTAAATCGATAAGTCAAAATTAATATCAACCAAACTGAAAACGTAAACCAAACTGAAAAAGATTAATGAGTCCTGTGCGCTCATGTGACCTTATACATTGTATATATGCAGTTGCCAGTGCCGTAAAACATTTACCCCAAAATGTTATTTTTAAAGAAGAAGAATAATAAAAGTAATAATAATAATAATAATAATAATAATAATAATAATAATAATAATAATAATAATAATAATAATAATAATTTTCAAAAGACCCTTCCCGTCAAATTGTTTGTTTGTTTAGTATAGGGTTTTACGGCGCTCGCAACTGCATAAGGTCATATGAGCGCGCGGGACACACCTAATACTTTTTCGTTGGTAGGAAATTTTGAATTTTGCCCGGGTGGCGGCCGAAGCCTACTCTTATCGATTTTAGACCACCAAGGGATCTTTAACGTGTGCAACTTGCACACGGGCCCTCCGAGATTTTTCGCCCTTGTCCGAGAAGGCTAGGTGTAGATCTTTCCTACCAGAAGATCAGGGGTGTGGCAGAAAGACAGCAGTTAGGAGGAGCCAATGAGTAGCAGTAGAAAGGCTGCAGAAAGAGTCAGGAGCCCAGAGGAGGGGGCAAAGGAGGTGAGGGGGTGGGGGCAGAAAGTGGAAATGAAAGCAGACAACAGAACATTGTTAGATATCAGGAAAGGATGTGAAAGGAGACAATTTTAGAGAAGAAAAGTTTTTGGTCGCTACCCGGAATCGAACCCGGGACCTTTGAATGAGAGGCCAACACCTTAACCTCTAGGCCACGAGAGCCCCCTTCCCGTCAAAGATAACATGGGCTGAGAGCTAGAGGGATCCAACGTCAAGCATAAAAAAATAATTATCTCTACACTGGAATCGCTCTCATGTCTCCTACATGCGATGGCTAACAACCTAACCGCTACACCACAGAAACCGATGCAATGTAATGGTTTCCCCGTTTACCAGGGCCGCTATTTTCGGAGATTACACAGGGATCTGTGCGGTTTGCTTTGATAGACATACAGATCTCCCAGTCTTTGAAAAAAAAAATAGAAAGAAAGAAAGAAAGCAAAACTCTTCGTCATTCGTTCAGATTTTACCGTTCTTTTTTCTTTACATGTATCTAAAACCCTAAAAGACAGACATAACATACTTACTTACTTGGTTGGAGAATAGGTATCACTGCAGGCGGCACAATGCCATAGCTGCTCCTCCCTCCTCTCCAGGATCCATGAAAGGGTCTGCTAGCTGATCGTGCCAGTTAACAGGTGGATAATCATGCATACAATGAATAAATAATATAATGCAGATTAGTTTTTTCTTATTTGTGCGTAATGGTTTGAAATGTGCCGCAATATATAGCCTGTGGTCTGATGATGATCACATTATATAATGTGTTCAAGCGGGTGGTTGGAGGGCGCCACTGGTAGGTCCTACTTCTTTACTTTCCTTCTGTTGTTTCTGTCTGTCTGTCTTACACATACCCAGCACTTGCACTAAATGACAGCCATTGTGTCGATGCACTTCTCTTTACTCAAAGAAACAAACAAATAAGCAAACAAACAATAATACGTGTGCACTACGTTGCAAAAGAGCTAAACGGCTCTGTGTATACTCCAATCCTGAGTTAAGTTCCTCATAGCGGGAAAATTGTTGATTTTCTGTGACACCCGGTAATCTTTGGGCGTGGTCTGGCGCCATCTGCTTAAGATCATCATATTCTTCTCAAACACGTGATGTAAAGTGGCGTCTGTGACACAAATGAAGAGCACATGGGAAAAACGACGGTAGTCACAAACTGGAAATTGTAAGGTTGCCAATTTGTTTTAAAAGCTTGTGGACTCATGACTTCATATATTTATTTGACTGGTGGTTTAATGTAACGTGTTGCTGAATGGTAAGTCTAGCAACAATAATCAGCCAACAGTTGAACAGAAATACAGTTATGAGTCAACAAGCGTTCAGATTTGAATGGTACCCTCACGATTTTCAGTTTGTGACAAGCGTCGTTTTTTTCCCTGTAGTCTTGTGGTTAGGCGCTTCAGCTATCGCAAGCAGAAGACATATATGAGTTCGATGCGCGTGTGACGAGAATTTTTACAGAGTACCTCCGGGTGTTTTTTCTGCTTTGATTATTGTTCTCGCTCTCAGACTCAGCCCATGTTGGCAGGGTCGATGCAGCCCATCTCCTAAATGATCTAAATTGTAAAGGTGGGGGCGCAGAACACCTACAATGATATATATTTTAGGGAACTGTTGTTGCTTTTTTCTTTCCACATCCTTACTTAGGTCATTTTTCCTCTGCTTCTTTTGTATGTTTGTCACTCTCATGTGAATTGCTATTCCGGGGTGCCTTGACAGTCGAAACAGACTTTCTGCTGTTGGGGCCAGAGAGGTGAGCAGAGTAAGCCTGATTCCCCGTTTGGACTTCTCTGTTGACATCCACCCCTTGGCGCTCATATTATTATTCATATATATATTATGACCTTATGCAGTTGCGAGCGCCATGAAACCTTACTAAAAGAAAACATAATTTTAGTGCGGCGTCAGAATCGGGTACTATGCAAGCTACTATAATTTAATAATATTATAATATAAGACGATGGGGGCAAAAAAATATCACAATACCCAACTCCAGAGTTATCACACTCTGTCTCAGTCTCAGAGAGATGTTTTGCCTATCTGTCTGTGTGTTAATTTGTTAGTTAGTTTGTTTGTCTGTCAGTCTGTGTGTTGATTTGTCAGTTGGAGCAAAGTGAAGAAGTACATCAACACGATAACTGTCATTTATTAATGCAGGAAGAAAAACTCAAGACAGACAGAATCAGCAGAGGGAAAGACGAAAAAATAGGACCTACTTGAGGTGCCCTCTAACTATCCCCACCCAGAGAGAGAGAGGGGGGGGAGAGGGAGGAGAGAGAGACAGAGAGAGAGAGACAGAGAGAGAGAGAGACAGGCAGACAGACAGACAGACAGACAGACAGACAGACAGACAGACAGACAGACAGACAGACAGACAGACAGACAGACAGACGGACAGACAGACAAACTGACAAACAGACAGGGGAGAGGGGGGAGGGGAGGGGGAGGGGAGGGGGAGAGAGGGATAGATAGGAGAGAGGGGTGAGAGGAGGAGAAAGGGGGAGAAAGGGGGAGAGAGAGGGGCAGAGAGAGACAGACAGGCAGATAGAGTGAGAGAGAGACGAGGAAGAAAGAGAGAGAGTGTGTGTGAGAGAGAGAGAGAGAGAGAGAGAGAGAGAGAGAGAGAGAGAGAGAGAGAGAGAGAGAGAGAGAGAGAGAGAGAGAGAGAGAGAGAGAGGAAGGGGGTGGAGGGACAGAGACAGAGAGAAATTGAAAGACACTGGAAAACAGAGCACGTATCGATCAATATTGGTGTGCTTAAGTGGCCTTGCTACTGGCGTGGGGCAGTTACTTGGGCATAACCTTATTCTGAGTATGGGAGATTTCCTTAAGGCGCCTCTGTTCTTCCTCCTCTTTTTTTTTTTTTTTTGGGGGGGGGGGGGGCGTAGCTTCTACTAGTAATACGTGTATGTAATGACACGCTGGAATGAGGCGCTCGACAAGCTTTTGGGCATGTTATGGAGTTTTTGGTATAATCTTGAAACTTGTTCGTTTGTCTTACTCAGTAAGTTACGATAGATTAAATAAAATACCCATCTATCTTGAATAAAAGTCGAGATATTTGCAACTGGATGAGGTCGGGTTCGCCGGGCGTTAGAGGTAAATTGGTAAGAAAATGACTTCTAAAGTTTAGTGTCCTTGGAAACTGCATATATGTATTAAAATTGTTTGCATCTCTGATCAACACGTTTCCATAAAATCCACACAGAAATGTGTTTTAAATAGCCATGAAAGGTGTTTAGCCGTAGAGGAAAAATGACGATAGTAAGTATGAGGAAGGGAAGAATAAGAAAGTGAAGACGTTGGACCTACCACTACTACCAGTGGCGCCCTTCGAGATCTGAATTGAAGGTTACAAATTACAGAGTAATAAAAAGGCGACGTCACATTTTCTACTCACTGAAGATATAGATCCAGAAGCCTACTGGGTTATTTTTTTTCATGTGAAGAATACCCTGATTCCTACAAGTTTTTGTGTTCTACCGCTGAAATTATAATGTATTAATTTAGTGTTTATATTTTACAGATGTTATCTGTTTATGTCATCATTGTATAGAACAGTGGAGATTAGAAGAGAGGGACTATGGTTTGAACCATCACCAGTTTTTTACTGTCAAAATACAGTAAAATTAGTAAAAATCATGTTCATAAACTGATTTGCTTTCAGCGTGACTGTTCAGTGCTTTTATGAGCACCCTGTATCATAACTACGTTTTGTGTGGTAGGCCTACTCTCCCTGGCTGGTAGTGGTAGTGATGTGTTCATTAACTGAGTCAAGGGAAGCACTTCAAGACAGTATCAATCATACTCTACTCTGTGTGTGTGTGTGTGTGCGTGTGCGTGTGTGTGTGTGTGTGTGGTGGTGGTATAGCGTACATCCACGCTCTAGAGCATGCTCTGAGTACTTCACACACTATTAGTGGGTGGTTGGCGGGTGCTCAGGAGCGGTTAGCTCCTTCTTTCCTACAAAAAATCTATCTTCTCTAACTCCCTTCCTTCTTTTTTGTGTTTGTTACTCTCTTTTAACACTTCTAATCTTCGGCACTTATATGACCTTATTGTGTTGCAAGTGCCGTATAACTCTTACTAAAACTAAAACTAAAACACACTATTATTGTCCCGGCAGACCCGAGAACACTCAGAAATATTCTCTGCCTCCCAGAAAGTATACAGTGCAAGCTGTGGAATGCATGCACTCAAACACTAACAAATTGACAAGATCTTTCACTCACTGTCTATAGCCGGGTACCGTACTCATTCCCAACAGGGTGAAGTGAGGAAATTTCGTACAAAGTGCCTTTCCCAATGACACAATGTCGGGTCCCTGACGAGATTAGAGCCCACGAGCTTATGGTTGCGAGTCCAAGAGCCTAATTTGATTAAAGAAGGCATTCTGTTCTCATTCCCTCAGAACATTTTTAAAAAAGAAACACCAGGGCAAATGTGTAATGAACAATACATTATATTTGATCACACTAAGGTAAACCAGTTCTTGGTTTCAAAAAGTTTATTTTGAGAAACAAATCCAATAATACACTGAATTCCCCTTGGGTGCTGACACAAAATAAAAGAAATGTCAATGATTCATAAAAATGACCTTTCACACAAATCACCACAACGACATCTTTCCACTCAAACTTTCCCACCAGACGGAAAACGAGAACAGATTACAACAACACGATAAGGAGCACCTGCAAAAACTGAAAACTCTATCAGTATACTCCACCACTCTGAACCAAGCTTATTCTCATGCGCTGCACAGATTAGACAGAACAAACAAATTCCGACATTCAGCTGTCAATGTTATTACAAGGTTTGACGGTGAAACCACAAGAAGAAAAACAGCAATAACCATCAATCTTGACAAAGTGTACAGAACATGTGTACAGCACTTCAACATCAAACAATGTTTCAATTTTTTTAGCACAGTTGTGTTCAAATCTGTGTTGTGTATACTTCAGAAAGAAACTCTTCCATGACAACTTTTATATCATCCACATATACTGAACAAGCCCAAAACTAATGAGAAGAGAGTGACTAACAGGCAGTTAGTTATCTCCAAGTCAAAGACTATAATAATATACGTGAACAAACAGGAAAGCAAAGTGCCCCAAGTCTCATGACAAATGAATGACAACCACACCCTGCACGACATCACACTCAAGCGCACAACTCACAAAAATGTCCTCAAATGGTAACCTGACATAACAAACAAAGCGCTGCAAGATTATTAAGACACAGAGGCTAGATAGTCTTTGACCTCGGAGGGATTCAGTCGCCGGAAACCGTTGACGTCGCAGATACCAATCTCAATATTGTCCTCCGTCATTTGTCCTTCAAAACTCTCCTTCAGGGTGAGGATGGCAGTGTGGACAGCATCCTCGAGCTCAAGTGTGTCGCTGTATCTGTTAGACAGAAGGAATAAGCGTTACTTTCCGTGAAAGAAAAACACACACAGAGTGTGTGAGGAAAAAGTTTAGTTTTAGTAAGAGTTTTACGGCACTTGCAACACAATAAGGTCATATAAGTACCAAAGATTAGAGGTGTTACAAGAGAGTAACAAACACACAAAAAAGAGTGAGGAGAGATCAGGACGATAGACGTTTGATCATTGATAGGAAAGAAGGAGCAAACTACATCAGAGCACGCGCCAACCACCAACTGTATCTGTCAGACAGAAGGAATAACTGTTACTTTCCACGAAAGAATAACACACACACAGAAAACGAGAGGCATAAACTATTTGACGGGTTTCAAGGCAAAACAAACTACATCCAAGTTTCTGGAACTTGGAAAAATTAGAAAATGCTATCTTGTTGTCCTCGTTGGATCCGACCTCTCATTGAATGTGATTACGGCTAAAGAAAAGAAAGGAGACAAGTTATTAAAATTATTATTATACTAAACGATGTACCACCAGTAATTAAAACAGTTGTTCCCCCTGATGACGAAAATCTCAAACAGCATCAGTGTGCGCGTGTTTGAGCTGTGTTCTGACCGTCATTTCTGCATGTGTAAAAAAACTTTTTTTTCCAGAAAACTTCTCGTGTGGAAACATACCCTCTCATTTCTAGGCCTAGATCTACATAAAGTAAAGGTGGGAGCTTGGATTGTCTGATCAGGGGAAGAAAAGAAAATTTTTTTAAAATGAAGGTCTCTATCTAGACCTCCATCCAGAGTTCATCCAGTTTCACACAGCCCGCATCACGTTCCCACCCAGCCCATCCCTATCATAGGCCTACCCTCGCCCATCCTCTTGGCTTTGGGGCCCATAATTATTAGGAGGCACATTAGATCTAGAAATACAATGTGTTAGGAATCGAGGATGGGCCTTCCACTTCGCTTGAGATGGAGAGAAAGGAGAAAAAATTTTCGCTTTTGGGGCCCTTATTGCTTTTATTTGGTTATAGCGACCTCGTTGAAAGCGACTTCGGTCTGTTTGCAACCTCGTTGGAGCTGATGTACATTTACAAAGAGATATAGAGGAAAAAAAATCAGGGATTAAGGATTGTCTCGTTGGAGCCGACTTCTCGTTGAATGTGACCTCGTGGAATGCGACACCCACTGTAGCACATTTTGAATTTAGGCTAAAACACATTTTTCCACTAACAAACTACTACTGTACAAACAGAAAGTCTTCAGAAAGGCAGAAAACGAAGGGAAATAACCAAGCTAATACGACTTTTTTTCCATATATTATTATAATGCATTTTGCTACTGAATCCTTCATTTATGGGACAGCATACATCCCCAAAAACTCTTCACACTCACTGCGTTGAATCACGATGATAAATACAAGTTTCCAGTATGAGCATGAAGGTGTGTGAGTGTGTAAAAAAATGTGTGACTTTATGTATCAGACTAACAATCAAAACTGATACCAGCAGGAACAGCTAGACACAAATGTACTGACCGTTTCTCCAAGAAGGTTTTCCCATTCACATGATTTCTGCCCATGGCTGTGGCCTTCCACGCAAAATGGGCTCCCTGAAAAGATAAGAAAAACATGAAGAATTTACCAAAAAGAAATAAAACAATAGCTTAGAACACAATAGAAGCCACATCAATCTTTAAAAGGTAGCTAACATTACTAGCTCTCTCTCTCTTTTTCTCTCTATCAATTTTTTTTTAAAATGAAAAAGGAATTCATTTATAGTGAAAAGCATGGAAGGCAAAGAGATATTACTAGAATGTCTACACTTCTTCTTACTTGTGTGGCATCGTGGTAAAATCAGCCGCTCGTCAAAATAATGAAATCAAAGAAACAAATATTTTCCACCTATTGGCCAATTTTTGTCCTTTTTTGGGGGGAGGGGGGGGATCAACACCTTATGTATCCATTTAAAAACACATTTCTGTGAGCATTATAGCGAAAAAAAGGTTGAACAAAGGCACAAAAAATATACATTTGCAGCTTCAAAGAACATTCAAACTCTGGAACTCGACAAACTTTGACCGTCATTTTTCTGCTAATTTTACCTCTAACACCAGGCAACCCCACCTCCTTTAATCGTAAATATCTTAACTTCTATTCAGAGTATTTTTTTCATCAAAAAGAAGACAAATAAACAAACTTTAAGATGAAACCAATAATTCCATATGCTCAAAAATTGATGAGCGCCTGATTTCACCATCAATGAAATTCTCAATAGTCTCCTTCAAAACCACATCTCTGTCAACTCTATTTTATTTCTCTATCTTATATAACTATCCGACATTCTTCACAGCCATATATAAAAGGTTTGAAAATACATATTTTCAATACAGTCGAACCTGTTTTCATAACCACCAGCCCAAGACAATCATCTGTACAAATGACACACCCCCCTCCCCCTGCCCTTGCATTTTTTCAACATTCTGATGGCCTTGTCCAAAATGAAAAACTGTTTAAAATGACCACTATTCTCCTAGAAAATGGGTAGTCCTCTTGAACAGGTTTGTTTAGTTTTACTGATAGTTTTACGGCACTTGCAACACAATAAGGTCATATAAGTGCCGAAGATTAGAGGTGTTACAAGCCAGTAACAAACACTAAAAAGGAGGAGAGACAAGGATGGCAGATGTTTGATAGGAAAGAAGGAGCAAACCACACCAGAGCACTCGCCAACTACCCAGGAATAGGTTTGACCAAAGCTGAGAAATCTAACAGTGTCGACTCACCGAAGGGTCACACTGGTACAGATAAGGTTTCTGCTCGTCGTGGTTCCAGCCCGCCAGTAGGAGGGACACTCCAAAGGGACGCACACCTCTGTGGGAGATAGTAATATACTCTTTTTAGTAAGAGTTTTACGGCACTTGCAACACAATAAGGTCATATCAGTGCCGGAGAACACATGTGTTACAAGAGAGCAACAAGCACAAAAAACGAGGAGAGATGTTTTAGTTTTAGTAGACGTTTTGCGGCACTCGCAACTGCATAGGTCGTATGAGCGCCAGAAGATAAGAGGTGTTACAAGTGAGTAACAAACATAAAAAAGAAGAAGGGGAGATAAGGACGATAGATGTTTGATAGGAAAGAAGAAGCAAACCACACTAGAGCACCCAACAACCACCCAGAGATAGTATACTCAAGAGTCAGAGCTCATCCCATTTGTCAAGACAAAAATGTGGATCTTGCAGGGGGTTTTTTGGTTTTGTTTTTTTAATGCAGGTGTTTTTATGACCTCATCGACTTAACTTAGATCATTTAAAAGATGGGCTTCTGACCCTGCCTGTCTGAGCCAACTCTGGCTGAGAGGGATACAACACCCCAGCAGAAAGGCCAAGATACTTTTCAAAAATTTTCTCTCCAATCGGGAACCAAACTCGGGTCTCCTGCATGCGTCAAAGAAGCATCTAACCGTTACATCACAAAATAATTGAACACTTTGTTTTATGTTTTAGTAGAGGTTTTACGGCGCTCGCAACTGGTACGGTCATATGAGCACCAAGGGGTGGATGTCAAGAGAGAAGTCCTTACAGAAAATCAGGCTTACTCTGCTCACCTCTCTAGCTTCAACAGTACAAAGTCTGCTTCGACTATCAAGGCACCCCAGAAAAAGCGGGGGAAAATGACGATAGTTAGGATTAGGAAAGAAAAAGCAGCAGTTCCCTGTTGCAGTTCAGGCACAGTTATGAGCATGAAATTGATGAATCAGCCCATTTACAACTACAATTCTACTGTGCATAAGAACATGGTTAATGTCTCCCCCTTTGGGAATGGCCTAAAGACACTTCAGTCAGTAGCATCGCCCGGGAGGGTTAATTGAACACTATTCTTTAATACTGCAACCCAGGATGGCACTACATTTCATCAACAACCTCTTTAAAAGCACAAACTACTCAAACAAACATGTTGAAGCTCTACATGTAATCATTACAAACTGATTTTATAAAATGATCATGTTATACTAGAAGAGTGATGTAAGACAATACAATGAGAAGACAAAATATCAACAAGTCAACACGAAATTTGGAAAACCAACAAAAACCATCTCACAATTTGATACTACATTTGAAACATTTTTAGTTTTAGTAAGAGTTTTACGGCACTTGCAACACAAATAAGGTTATAAAAGTGCTGAAGATTAAAGGTGTTACAAGAGAGTAAAAAAACACTAAAAAGAAGGAGGGTAGATAGAGACGATAGATTTTTTATAGGAAAGAAGGAGCAAACCACACCAGAGTACCCGCCAACCACCCACGAGTTGCAAACAATGAATTAAAAAGGTTATAAAATACATACCCCATCCCCATGAAGAATTGTGATATCTCATGCGATATTCAGTTATTGTTATTTATCCTTTATAGGCTTATAATAATCTACAATGCAAGTTACTCCGAGAAGAGAAGTACATAAAACAAGGGGTTACGGACAACAGCAATAATACACCACTGAAGACAAAAAAGAAGATCAAGAAAAAGATAGACCGACGTAGTCAATGGGATGCTCCAAAGGAACAAAAGGATGATCCACAAAGATAACACACCTGGTCCACATCTGACAACTACATCTCCTCTTAACACCTTGTAGTACGATGGAGGACAGGAAAAAAAATAAAAATAGAAGGTGGTAGAAGAAAAAAAAAGAGAGAGAGAGAGAAGAAAAGCTTTTGATCTCTCTTTGACACTTTGCAGTCCAAAAAGGACAGAAAAAGAAGAACAGCACAAGAAAAAATAAAAGCTTTTACTCTACCTTAGAGACCTTTCGGTACAAAAAAACATACAAAGAAGAATTTTGACACCTTTTGGTAAGAACAAACATAAAAAGAAGAATTTGGACACCTTTCTGACTGAAAAAACATAAAGAGAAGAAAAACAAAAGAAAGGAAAAAAAATTTTTTTTTGAAAGAAAAGCTTTGACCATACCCAGACTGTGTGAATTCTTGCATGACGTTGGCCACTTTCTGCACCAGCTGGTCCACAGGGATCTGCTCCTGGTACGTCAGGTAGTACTGAGCCGCTAGCTTCCTGGCGCGACGTGTCAGCACCCTGTGGGAGAAATGATGGGGAAGTAAAGTGGACAACTTACTCATTTTTTAATCATTTTTTTTTGTTAATTAAAAAATTTATTTTTAATGTAGGTGATTTTACGCCCTCATCGGCACAAGATAGATCATTTAAGACGCGGGATTCCGACTCTGCCGTTCACAGGCAACCCACACTGAGAGGGATACCACATCGTGATACTCTAAAAAAATTTCTCATCACTTTGGAATCGAACTCAGGTCTGCTGCTTGCCACAGAAAAGCGCCTAACCTCTAGACCACAGGCACTGGTGTTCCATGATTTTCGACTAACAAACTGTCAAAAACAATGACAATCTTTATTTGTCTCACAGAAAGTAATTTATTTGTCTTGGTCGCTTACAATAACAGTGGTGTAACAAATTCATGTACACTCAAGAATACATGAATAAGTCCAACGACTTCGTAACCACGAACTCTAGATGAGAAGCACAAATGATTATCATAGATCAGAGCCACATCATTGCAACTCACTTTATTTTCTAAAAAAAAGAAACGGACATGATAGGTCTAAGATTCATATCACCCACACAGTGGTCAAGTACCTCACAGAGTATACCGTACAGGTGGACTTCCACCACCCTACCTGTCAGAGCCAAAAGAAGCAACGTCCGAGCAGAAAGACTAAGGTACACAGTAAATATTCCCCCCACACAAGAATTGAACTCCAATCTTCTGCGTGAAACAGTAAAGCACCTTACTAATCTGCTACGCACTCAAAGCTTGTCTCACCTGAAGTCTGGCCCCATGCCACTGTAGACCATGCCAATGCCTTTAGTGACTGGCTCAATCTTGTGAATGCTGTGTTCATCATACAGCACGGACTTCTGCTTTTTCTCTGTGGCTAAAACGACGCCATTTG